CAAAACAGGGTCAGCAAAGTCCTTAATCCAGTGACCACCCTAGTCACTGGTCGTGCACATATGCATACCGTCTGTATGCATATGTGTATGTATATGTTCATATGTGCGCTTGTAATCAATGCATCATATATATGACTATTTGTTCATATATACCTATGTTTTAAATATGTACCTATGGCCTTATACAAATATGTGAGTAGTACCTGAAGATACCCACATACATAGGTATCTACGAAGATGCAGTTATACACACATAGGCACATACTACATAGAGACGAAGTTAGGTATATACAGGGTGCGCCATAAATATGGTAACAAAAGAACTGGGCTACAAAAACCGCAGTTCAAATTGATACATGATGAAATCATGTGAACTATTTACTATGCATCACATGCACTACTATTTACTATACATCTATATAATGAACGCACGGTCATCTTATATAACCGTCTCCTTTACTAATTATAGCTCAAAGATGCTTCGGCTACTTATCGACGGCGGCACGCAGAGTTTCTTAAGAAATTCAAGCGTGGGATTTTTTCACTGGTTTCTTAAGAGCAGCAACAGTGGTGCATTATGAAGCGCAGGCTTTCCTATCTAGTATGAACTATATTCAGCAACCCATCACATTGTGGTCCGGGAAATTCGTAGGTGAATTGGGAGCTGGGATAAAGTTGCGAACATCCCCTCAGCACAACTCTTATCTTTTCCCATTTTCCCTTTTCCTTTTCCCATTCGTGAGCAGGTGCGCCGCAGTTTTCAAGTTGTATCCCTAATAAAAACTTCGACCCTCAGCTGCATTTTTTCAGAAGGACCCTTCTTGAAAAGCTTCGGATAAAATTTTGTACTTATTTCAACCAAAATCCGCGATTTCGCTCTGATAGTAGAGATTCCAGCAAAACCTACCATCAAAGAAGGAAAATGGCTTTGAGAAGGGATCTGAACCTTATCAGCAGCTTCAGCACTCGAAGTGTAAAATATACGTGTACTTTGGGGTCCCAACATTTCTTCCACGCTGAACTCCCTTTATTCAAGAAAAGGATTATCGCAGTGCGTGCTTTGTTTTTTCTCTCCAACTTCTCATCAATAAAGTTATACGACTTTTAAATCACATCTGGATAAAATTGTATTTACTAGGGGTAGACTCTTCTCATCGGAGTAGAGCATACAAACAAATCAGCAGTCATTTTTCTCGTATTTCGGCAAGTTTTGCAGCGAACTTCTTCTCAAGTAATTCTATTCGGAAATGGGCTGTATATGAGGCAAGTCGACCGTCTCGAGGTTTGCCCCGACCTGTCTATGCATGCGATTGGAAAGACTGTCAGTGGGGAGAATGATGGAACGAGGAGCGATCCCGGAAAGGGACTCACCAAATGCGCGCAGAGACGGAACGGCCAGTGGTTGTCTGCGAGGCTCCACCGTTTTTCGAATTCTGACGAATTGAGAGCACAAAAGTAGATATGTAGTCTGACAAGGAAAGGATACCAGGTCGCAGTGGCCATTCAAGATG